GCGCCAGGTGTGAGTTTAAGCTTGCAGGGTCTGGGACTCGAACCACGGTCGACTACATGGGAGTCCAGTGACATAGTCATTACGTAACTGCTGGTCCCCAACCCTTCTTGTTTTCTAGGGGGAGCCGTGGGGGGTCTGTTAGGTGCCTGGATGAGAAGCGGAGGGTTCAAGCCAGTTTCTCAGATCTTAATGCAGCTGCCGCGTGCCCAGCAGCAGACGCTCTTTAACGAAGCCACTGCCATCATCAGCCCCCTGATGTTCACAGACGCCACGCAGCTGACCTCGCTGGTCATGGGCAGCGAAGCCCTGCAGCTGCAGCTGATGGGGATGCTGGTCAACTTCCTCACCAAGGAGCTGGGAGCCGAGGTTCGGTAAGAGGAACAAGCCAGCCTCCGCGGGTGCGGGTTTCCTGTAGGTGATTCCGTGATCTCTGCTGTGACTGCGGAGTCGGGGGAGGCCCAGTGGGTTCTCTGAGAAATCCACACGTCTCAGTGTCCTACCTAAACTGGAGCCAGGTCACCTGCCGGAGAGGCGCCTGTGCTGCACCGCGTGCTGGAAGTCGTTCATGAAGACGTTGTGTTTCTCTGATCGTGTGCACTCATGTGTACCCACAGCCCTTCAACTGGAAGCCGGTGAAAAGCAAAGGCTTGCTGGGTGCAGGCGTCAGGGAGGCCTTGGCCTGTTGGGGTCTGGACGTTCTGCCCAGCTCACTGTCCCACCACACGGCATTCTCCTCCCGTTGGGGGTACTCCTAAGCGCCTGTGCAGGACTGAGGACCCTCTTAGAGTCTCAGGGCCTCAGACCCAGCTGGAATCATGTTACCTCCTGATGTGTCCTCTCCCAGCCAGTGACTGCTGTGTGACCTTAGGGAGGGGGACAGTCAGCCTGCTGGTGAAGCCACAGACCCTAAGTGCACTCGGCCCCTTCTCCCCTTAGCCACACCCTGAGGTTCCCTACTCTTGAGGTCTTGCTTTCTCTAACTGAAAAGTCATGGTAGTTTTCGAGTTATGCTTTTTAAATGATTTTTCCAGGAAAAAAAAAAAAAACATTGCTTTTTCTGAAGTGGTGGGATCGTAAACTACTAAGAAACGTTTCCACTCTCAAAGTTCCCTGAACACCGTATTTATTTTCTTTCAGAGTTACAGCTTGAGGGCCCAGCAGGAGGCGCAGCGGTGGCAGAACCCTCTATGTGACGTGGATTCCACATAGAAGGTCCCAAGGTCATGTCCCGGGACCTCCCTCTACATTCAGGACTTACACCCTGTGGGGCCATGGTCCAGGCTGGCTGAGGCTGGGTGGGACATGGCATGAGGACTTTGTTGGCTATGTGCCCCCCCATCATGGACGAAATCAGTGAATCAACAAAAATAAAACACTACATCTCAAGTAAATGTCATCAAATTACAATAAAGTGTTTCCCTGAAATGTCATTTTCCCATGAATTTTGTGTAAAGTATGTCTAACATCGAAAGTCTTACACGTGAACGAAAGGGAGCGTACCAGATCTGTGGCTCTAAAGAATGAAAGACACGGGGCCGGCAGGTGGCGTGGTGGTTAAGGGCACTGGACTCCCACATGGGTTGACCGTGGTTTGAGTCCTGGACATTGTGGCTCGCTTTCTCACTTTTCTTCTCTCTCACTCTGCCCCTCTCTGGTCAAATTTAAATAAATAAATAAAGTTAAATAAAATAATTATTTTTTAAAAAAATGAATGAAATACAGTAGGCCACTGTTTCATTCTTTGGTGGCGTGGTGGTTAAGGCAGCTGGATCCCCTATGACCGACCACAGTTTGAGTCCTGAACCTGAGGGTGTGAAAACCACACTGAGCGCATGTGCATTAATGCCCAAAGTTGTGAGAGGAGAATGGAAAAGGAAATGAAAGGGATGGAGGCACGGCTATCCTCCCGGGAGGGTGAGTTCTCACTCTCCCTCTCTTTATCTCTCTCTATCAAGCACACACTCTACAGCTAAAATATACAAAAAGAATAAAAGACAGCTCCCCCTCCTCCCGGCTTGTCTGAGGCCTGACTTCCCAGGCTGGTTTGCCCTGTACTGCCAACATGCACACACCGCTCCCAACTCCCCTCACCCCTGCCCAGAACCATAGAACACTCCTTGGGTCCCCAGAGCCTGGGGCAGGGCGAGGACATTAGGCTCCCACCATGGCCTGGTAGCAGCCCAGGCCTCCCAGGAGGTGTGGAGGGTAGTAAGTGTGCTGCAGGCCAGCTTAGAGCAAAGCTCTGTCGCAGCCTCTCTGAGCGATTGAGGAAGGCTTCAGGGTAAGTTATAACCCACGGTGATTAAGGAGGGATTGGGCTTTTATCCCTTAGAGAAATCTCTCTGCAGTTGACCTTGTCTAACACAAATCAGGTGCCCTAGCACAGGCCACACTCCAGGATTTCCTGAAGCCACGTGGATCATTTGTGAGCTGCTTGAGTTGATGGGAGACAGGGCAGGGGTGAGAAAGGAGGAGGTGGCTGGCTGTGAAAACGGTGTGGCCTTTCTTGACAAGGTGATCATTTCTGCTCTTTCTGCCCAGTAAGTCCCTTGAACTACAAATTTAAAATCAGGTCCTCCCATTTATATATACATATAATATAAAGAAATACACCATTGCCTTATTGGAAAAGTCATGACGTATTTTTCTGTTTCTTTATGCGAAAATGTGTTGTGAACTTTTCCAATGATTCAATATCGATACATATTTATTATAAATTTTGTATGTATTCATAGCCTTAGTGGGCTCTAAAATTGCCCTCTTTCTAGTATCAACATAAAAATGTTGATTTGCAGGGCCAGCCGTGGCCTGGTGGCTTAGGGAGCCAGATCCCACTTTGCGGGCTGGGCACTTTGAGTCCCAGCCCTAGCAGCTTGAAAACCTCACTGAGTATGGGGACCAGCAGTTGGCATAATGGCTTCGTCGCTGGACTCCCATGTAGTTGACAGTGGTTCGAGTCCCTGACCTGGTGGCTTAAACTCATGTTGGGCGCATGTGCGTGTATGCCCAAGATCCCGAGAGGAGAATGGAGGAGAAGGGATTGCGGTGTGACCATCCCCCCTGGGAGGTGATTTCTCGCTTTCTGTCTCTTTGTTTTTCCGGCGAGCATACGCCGTATAGCAAAAACCTCCTCCGCCCAAAAAATCCTCACTGAGTATGTGTGCATGCGTGCCTCAAATCTTGATGGGATGGAGAAATAAGAAGGGATTGCGGCATAACCATGCCCCATTACGGGGAGGAGGTGCTTTCTCTGTCTCCCTTTCTCTGTATCTCTCTGGCTAGTGCATATTCCTTCTGGCAATAAAAACAAACAACAAACAAACAAAAACCTGCAACAATAGCTTTAAAAACAAAAACAAGACTAGCCAGTCAGCCTGGTGGTTGACAGCTGGATCCTACTTGGCTCTCGGCACGGTTCAAGTCTTGGACCTGGTGGCTGAAAATCATGCCAGGTGTGTGTCGTGCAAGCCCCAAATCTTGTCAATGTTTATTGCTGAAAACCTAGAAAAGTCTAGTGACATAAAAACCTACAAAGTCTACCATCCAGAAAGTTGCAGTTAACAAATCCGGTATGTTTCCTGCAGTTGTTTTAATGCTTTGCATGTGTTTTTCGAACATAGTTGCGTTCTTAACTGTATAATCTCTCTCTAAACACTTTTGTCTATTACCATGAACCTTTTTGACATAATTTAAAATTCCTTTAACATTTAAAACATTTGTAATGGCTGCATAATATTCCCTTGTACCTAATTGAATGCCTGAAGTTTCTTCCTGTAGGTTTTCACTATTCTAATGCTGCAGTGAAGATGTCTGTGCTCATATTCCCTTGAAATTTTTGGGTTATGATTGATTGCCTTTAGGAGAGATTCCTCAAAGTGTAACTGCTGGATGCGAAAGTTTACCCCAGGTCAGCCCCTAGCCTGGAGGTTGAGAAGGCTAGGGGCTTCTGCTTGATTTGAGTCTCGAACCTTAAAAAACACATAGGGAGGGGAGACCAGCAGATGGCATAATACTTACACTGCAGGACTCCCAGGTAGTCGATAGTGGTTCAAGTCCCAGATCCAGTGCCTTAAAACTTAGGCTGGACGTACATGCCCAAAAAGAATGGAAAAGAAGGGATTTCGGTATGGTCATCTCCCCTGGGAAGTGTTTTCTTATTTTCTGTCTTTCCATCTCTCTCTGTCTCTCCGGCCAGGGGAGTTGCAAACTAAACAAACAAACCAACAAACAAAAACACATAGGGAGGAGCCCAAAGGTGGCATGTTGGTTAAGACACTGGACTACAACAGTGGTTTGAGTCTTGGACCTGGAAACTTGCTTCTTTCTGTCTCCCTGTTTCTCTCATGTGCCCTGTAGCAAGATTAAAAATAAATAAATAAATAAATAAATAAATAAATAAATAAATAAATAAATAAATAAATAAATAAATAAATAAATAAATAAATAAATAAATAAATAAATAAATAAATAAATAAATAAATACATAATTAAGAGGGGAATATTGTGAGAGCGAAAGAGAGAGAGAGGGGAAGTGAGACAGCAAGTTGCCAGGTTCGGGACTCAAACTGCAGCTGGCCATGTGGGAGTCCAGCACCCTTAATCACCATGCCACCTACTGGCTCTGATAAATAATTCTAAAAAAAAAACACAAACAAAATAAAAAACAAACAAACAAACAAAAAACCAAAAAACCCCACATAATAGGAAAAACAAAACATGCAGGGCCTGAGTGCGAGAGTACCCACAATTCTGAAAGGAGGGAGAGATGGAGGAAAACGGATTGGCAAGATATGGCCATATGACCATTCCCCATGGGGGTGCTCTCTCTCTCTTCCAGTCTCTCCTAGGAGGCACGCGCTCTCTGAAAAAACTTCAAATAATAACAAATAATAATAAAGCATACACTATTTTTGAAGGTGGTTGATAAATTCGTCCAGCATCTACAGTCACCATCACTGATCGACTCTCCCAGCTATCAGCGCTTGGGAGTGCACATCTCACGGCGTCCTTGCCCAGAGACAGGACGGTAGTGTCCTAAACCTTTATCGATTGATGAGTGACCACCGGCGTCCCGGATCGATAGCTTTTTCTTTTGATCAGGAGCGGGGGTGCTTGCCCCGTGGCGTGCCCATCTCCCTGTGACCTGGAACATGGAAGGGCGACCTGTTGAGCCATGCCCAGGGCGCTCCGAGCCCAGCGCCCGGTGGCTGCGCAGGGACTGCGGCTGCCCCACCTGCGGCGGCCAGGTGGCCCGGGCGGGGCTGGCTCTGGCAGGGGTTCAGAGGAAGCCTTGGTAGGGGGACCCAGTAATTATAAAAAGAAACCATCTGCTCCGGGGCCGGTTATTAACCTGCTGCGGGTGTTGACGTGACAGCGCCGGGCGAGATTTTTCACAGGCAGATGGTGTATTTTTAGCTAGAATTAACTTTTTTATTTTTCTGTGTTGTGAGATGTCTGGGCTGGAAGTAAACACGGCTGGGGGGGTTCCAGCGCCGGAGGCCGCCAGGGCCCGCGGGGGTCTGCGAGGCGGCGGGGCTCGTCCATTCGTTATTGCCTGGCGCCATCTAGCGGCCGCCGCGCGCACGGTCTCGCTCCGCTTCCCCGGGCCTGGAGCCCACAGCGCCTTCGCCTGGTCACCGGCCAGGGTTGTGGCTCCAAAAGGACGCTGCTTTATGAGTTCCTGGTGGGGAGGGAGCTGAGGCCTTCCCGAGGTTTTAATAAGCCATGAACAGAAGAGCAGCCGTGTCTCCTGCAACCTTTCTGCATATAAAACAGAATGTCTCTCAATCCTGAACAATCAACATATGGCAATTAAGAAATGCTAGGATTCATCGAAACCGCACA